TGGGATTGCTGTCAATGCCCTAGGCCTTGTGGGATTGCTGTCAATGCCCTAGGCCTTGTGGGATTGCTGTCAATGCCCTAGGCCTTGTGGGATTGCTGTCAATGCCTGAGGCCTTGTGGGATTGCTGTCAATGCCAGAGGCCTTGTGGGATTGCTGTCAATGCCAGAGGCTTTGTGGGATTGCTGTCAATGCCCTAGGCCTTGTGGGATTGCTGTCAATGCCTTAGGCCTTGTGGGATTGCTGTCAATGCCCTAGGCCTTGTGGGATTGCTGTCAATGCCATAGGCTTTGTGGGATTGCTGTCAATGCACTAGGCCTTGTGGGATTGCTGTCCATGCCTTAGGCCTTCTCCACTGTGAATGTGACTATGTATGTGACTATGAATATTTGTTGCACAGCTAGTTTTGAGGGCTTCAGATAAGAGACCAACCTATCCTGGTGTGCTTGCACGACCTTGGGTCAGTCTCTCAGCTGGGAGGGCAACACAGCCCCTAGTCTAGATCAGAATAACGAATGTAAGAGTGACTCTTGCTTGGCTGGATTAGAGAGCATGTGTAATATAATATATCTAGACTTAGTAGTAATGTTGAGTAATCAATGTTGAGTAAGACCACATAATCCATATAGCCTTAAAACTGACAAATAAATGCATCGTTTAACAATATATCCTGTAAGAAGAAGATGTTTTACCCTGAGTAAGTGTTTAAAGGGTGTTAGAAATAATGAGAGTGGGAGAAGTCTTTGCATAAGATAAGGGAAAATGGGGGAGTGAGTGGCCTTGGATGACTGCAGGCCAGAGATGAGCGAACAAGAAGCTATAAGGAACATCTGGTGATCTTGTGCAGGGCCGTCATTCGCAGAAAAAGGTATGCTGATTTATCTGCCTTTTATTTGGTCAGGGCCTTTCTCCTTTACATGCCGGAATCCCTGTTTGAACAGCAGCTATAAACGGGAAATTTCTACCCTAAGATATCTGCATTTTACTAAAGTCCGTCAGAAATTAACTTCCTTCCTTCCATCCATCCATTTTCCAAACCGCTTATCCTTCTGGGTCGCGGGGGGTTTGCACACTAAATGTAAATTAGGTGCCAGACATTCGCATACATGGATCGACTTAAGGACATTCTTGCTAGTGACTATGTAAACAGAAAGATTAGAAAGGAACGACTTTTCGTGGACCTTCAAGATTATTTTTTTACTGATTTACTTACTGTTTGCACTATGTGTAAGGCCTTTGCACTTTGTTTTCCCTATGTTGTGGGTGAACAGACAAATTTTAAAACTACATAAATAGAAAGCCATTTCATTCTATTAATACGCAGGTCATCTGTGATGCCAACATGACATTGTCATGATTTGTTCATTCTGAGTACCACATCAGTAACACATTTGAGCTTTGTGTACCACATCCCCTATTATAGATATCATATGCATGCTTTAGTTTGAGGGTGATGTGGGTTTGCCCTTGGCAGTCACATTAGCCCTGTGCGCAGCAAGTCATTCCTTTCTCTTGATCTTCAGATCAATGGGGTGTATTGTAGCACTGATGGAATTTACAGTGGCAATATGTTGCCATTATGCAAAAATGCAACATAGTGCAGAGGTGCTAGACACAGTAAAATATACATGTGATAAATGTTTGTGATAAATGTATTTTTTCATGCTCTCACCTCACACTGTTCAAACTTCCTCTTCTTGGTTTTCTATTTACTGTGGCTATAGCCAGACTTTGCAACCAGAAAGGCTTAATTTACATATTATATGAGCATGCAGCTCATTTCTATTAATCATTTATGGATTTTTGTGGCTGGCAACTGCGCAGGATTTGGAATTTTGGAATGAGCTGCACTTGTTCTGCATGGAAAAGTGGTTCAAGATTTCTCTGCATGTGTGCTCCAACCTTGATAAAAACAGTATAGAAAGAGGTTGATCGTTGTCATTCTTGCCAGGGGAGGCTCTACATATTGAAATTAGGGATGTCAATATTTTTGGAACGGCATTTTTAAGAAATTTTGTGTTACTAACGGAAACCTTAAATTTGCTACAAAAATTTGTTAGAAGATTAAACCATGGGGCTTATATTCATTTTACCTCATTTTCATGAAGGGTACCAATAATTTTGAAGCTGACTGTGTGTAAGAAGCCATGCTTTTAAAGGAGGAGACTTAATAATACAGAATTCTCTGAGGCCTCTGAGGCTCAGGTAAATTTATATAACTACTTAGTAATTTAGTTCAAATATACATAAAGAAATTCTATTAGGTAATACTTTTATCATAAATCTATAGTGGTTACAGAACACAAACAGCAAGGTGGTGCAGAACAAATGACCTGTAGGTGACAGTCACCTGACTGTGATCACAGGCGCTTGTAGGTTCCCAAGACAGTGCTGCAGTTTGGACACTGATGGGTCACATCCTTTAAGTCATCCACGCAGAATGGAATCAGGCAACAGCCGTAGAAGCAGCTGGAAAAAGAAGGGGTGAGCAGGCATTGGGCCTGTATGAGCGAGATGTGTGCAAGGAGTGTCAGTATTTCTGGATTCTTTCTGCAGTAAATGTTGAAACCGTGGGGAGGATTCCGTCACAGTTGAACTGTGCATTAGCTCACCCAAAGATGAAGAGGCCGGCACAGGTCAGCCAGGTCATGGTGCCAGTGTTGTGCTCCAGGCGGGTCAACACCATCTGCATACACCCAGGGCAGTGCGTCTGCACAGGCTGGGACCCGAATACCACTCTTGGCTGTACGTAGACGGTCTGTACGGACACTAGGGTGGAGAAAACAGCACATTCCCATTCAGCTTCCAATCCCCAGGAAACATTCATCCACTTTAGGTCTAATGCAGAAGCAGGGTAGAATGCATCCAGGCTGTCTGAAGTTCCCACAGGTTAATTATCTGCTCCCTGTTAGTGGGGGACTGCAGCTCCCAATATCCTGTATCCTTTAGGCCTTCAAATAACTATACGACCCCAAATGAGTGCCTCTGAGAGGGGTGCTACTATTTTGGAGGCCAGCACCCTACTCCGCCGATACAGACACAGTCATTCACAGTGCAGAGTCACAGTGAGCTTGGAGCCTATTCTAGCAAGCACAATTAACTGGGCTTTTAATTTTTCAAGTTAAAAACAGTATAAGATAAGAACTCCACTTTGACCTATAATAGAACTCTTATCTATTATCGGTTAATGTCTGTTATCCATTACCATTGTTTCTATACATTCATTCCATGAATTACGCTGATTACAAGTGACTTTGAAAATTCCGGAGGAAAGGGTCCAGTCTGTATATGTAGCAAGTGTAAGAAAGAAGACGGACTGTAACACAACGAAACGTGGCAAGCTCAACAGAAATCATACATTAGCAGGGTCCTTACCCACTTGGCCGGTTGTGGGAGGTCCGTATGGTTGAACTGGGTAGGGTCCTTGTTCAGGCTTAGAGAAAGCAGGGGGTGGCTGTACAAAACCCGGGGGGTAGGGGCTGCTCATGGCTTCCTCATATGAGGGTGGCTGAGGAGAAAACGTAAATCCCACCGTCTCCAATGGAGGTGCGGTTGCCATACTGCCGGACAATCTGAAATACGCAGGGACAAAACTGCTCGACTTTTGGGCCAAAAGGAGTTCACAGCAGACCAAAAAAAAATGAACACTGATGCATAAAGAATAATTGTAAATACATTTAAATGCTAGAACATTCAGAATAATTACAGCCAACGACAAAACAAAGGCCTAAGTTAATCCCACAGACCACTTTTCAGAAAGGTATGAAAATATTAATTATGAGCAACCAATTCCCAAACAACTAAGGCACTCGTATGTTTGGTATTATTTATGTGTAGAGAAAACGTCCTTATAAATATAACATGTTAGAAGTGGCAGATAATATCAACAAGTCATGCTGATTCGGTGTCCATTCCCATATGTTACTCTAAAAATGCAACATGACTGACTGAAAAACACAACAGGACGAAAGCTGTGTCCAAATTTTACACCAATATGTTTAATACTAACTCGACAGCCACCATTTATCCGTAATCAGTTAACAATAACCAGTTAGCCATGACACGATGCCTAGAACCTTCCGGGAAATTACCTATCTCTGCGTCTGTAATTCGTCAGATAAACATGGCACTAATATATAAATACTAAGTGATAACTTCTGAAGGAAATAATAGGTTATTAAACAATGGATTAGATTATGAATGTTTATAACTGCTTAGTTCAGTTATGACTCAGCTATGTTCCCATTTTAACAACGCTTTAACAAGTAGCCAAACGACAGCGTCACCACGGGGTGAGCCATCTAGTTCCTAACAATGGTAAAACTTTATAAGAACAACAACAACAATGAAATAATAACAATAGCAACATCAACAACAATAATGATGACAATTAGTGATTCCTCCGAGCAATGTAGACCCTTTACGCCACAAAACTGGACCGAGGTGAAATTAGTTTTAGGTTGGATATTCGACGGATATTCAGATCCACACTCTCCAGACTTAGCGGCGGGGCATCACTCACGCTAGCCGGCATAAGGCGGTCGAAAGACGGCCAGATCAATTCACAGCCTCGGTGGCGCTAGAGCACCGCTGACTTAGGGACCGTCAACAAATTACTGTCAGAATAATAAAATACTGATTGCTTGCAATAACTTCAATGCAATGGGACACAGTAACTCCAAAATGAGTGCATATTCTGCAACTACCTGACATACACAGGACACAGTAAATCATATCAATTAAACAAAGGGTTAAAATCAAATGAAAGTTGCTGTGTCCTATAGGCCTTAGGTAGTACTACAATCGGTACTAGGTTTTGGGTCACAGGCTCCAACGGCCTAGAAGCTATTGACAGAAAAGGCCTAATTTTAGAGAAAAAAAAATAATTTCAAGTACACAAAGGGTTAAACTTGAATTAAAGTTGCTGTGTCCCATAGGCCTATGGTAGTACTACAATTGGTACTTGCTTTTGGGTCGCAGGCTCCTACGGCCTAGAAGCTATTGAAAGAAATCTATTTACTCACTTTTCCCTTTTAGAATGATATTTTAAAATGCAATAAAGTGTTAAAAACGAGTAAAGTTCACTGTGTCCTGTGCATGTCATGTAGTTGCAGAATATACACTCATTTTGGAGTTACTGGGTCCCATTGCGTTGATGGTATTGCAAGCAATCAGTATTTTATTATTCTGACAGTAATTCGTTGACGGTCCCTAAGTCAGCGGCGCGCTAGCGCCACCGAGGCTGTGAATTGATCTGGCCGTCTTTCGACCGCCTTATGCCGGCTAGCGTGAGTGATGCCCCGCCGCTAAGTCTGGAGAGTGTGGATCTGTCAATTAGGCCTTTTCTATCCAACCTAAAACTGATTTCACCTCGGTCAAAAACCGGTAGGTAGTCTTTTTAATAAAAGTGAGTTTACTGAATAACGGCTAAAGTTACTAACTAACTGACTAATTAAATAACGTAAAAAGTACACAGTCCACGGTACACAAGCCACTTCATCGTCAGCTAGTTATTTCAAAGTTACCGTTAATGCTGCGAAGTGAGAAGTCTTGGTGTCCCTCCTTCCGCGTCTTCGGAATTAACTTTTACAAACTAAGTTTTACCAAACTATCCAACTAACTACCTGGTAAACTTTGCCCTTGCCAGAGGCTGACCACCATAACCACTGTCCTGTCCGAAAAACGTCGAAACGCAAGTGCCCGAGATGTAAATAAATATATATGTACAAAAGTAATAACAACGCTGAACGCCACTGAATGGTTATACCGCTATTTTTCTCTTTCAAAATATTAAATTCACTATGCAAACAGATTCGAAAGTTAAATTAGTCGAAGAGACACGGAACGAGGCGTTTCCAGTAAGAGGGCATCACGTGACCCACGTCGGCGTCCGAGGCGCGTTCATGCAGACCTGTCATCGGCCGCGCTTTCCTTACAATAGGAAGTTTAAGTGTAGTTATTTATTTCTTTATCTGTGTTTTCTTTGCAACGATCCCCTTCAACTTCACTTGGGACCATGAAATTCCGTCAAAAAAAAAAAAACAATCAGTCCAGTAGCATTTTCTTAAACCACAAAGTCTTCTGCTGACATTGAGCCACACAATACTTGTAAGAAACTATACTTTATGGACAAATTATTCAACCTGCCACAAAGTTAAGATGCAGAATTGTTTGGGCGTTTTAGTAAACCAGATATTAGCAAATGCATATTACAAGCTTCAGGAGTCACATTAATACAGCCTACTTTTACTGATTCTCATTTTGTGTATTTTACATTAAGAGCAAAAAACTGCATGGTAATCGTACCTCACTATATTGGTTTATAGAACAGCTGTTTTATCCAATATGTAGTGGGAATATTCATTGGTGATTTAGCTACGGGTGCTAGGGATGAAAATAGTGCTTGTGTTTGTCATATCAATGTGTAATATTAAATGATTGTAACTGTATTCACAAGGTGGTAACTTAGGGGAATTCCCCCCTCCCCCCACCAGTCAAGCACCTGCCCCTGTCTCTGCGAAGCACTGATCTGCATGACTGCTTGGGCTCTCTCACCTTGCAGCCCCTGGGAGAGAAGCCTAGAGTCACCGATGGGACTGTCTATCCATCTGTCTTCCTGTAGGGGGTCATGCAGTGTTGGGATGGCATTGTCACAAAACACTAGACCAGCAACACCCATAAACTCCTCAGAGGGCTTCATCTGCTATCTTTCAATATGAGTATGTGTCTGATGCTGGCCAATGCCTTATACTGCCTGTGGCATTTGAAACCATCTGTCAGTGTAGAATACCCATGTGCCTTTAGTGCGCAGACCAAAAACTAATCTTCGGATACCAACAAGAGGGAGAGCTTATGAATAAAAGGGAGAAAAACATGGCAATGCAGCATGCTATCAGTTTTCATACTTACTATAATGCCTCAATATGCTTGATCATTTGTATCAGCCTTGACAGAGTGAGGACAGAGAGATTGAGTAAGAATAATAATTAGTAATTAAAAAAATATAACAAGAGTTTCTGATGAATGATGATTAGGGGTCAACACCATGGCACATTTTGAGAGACATTGTGCTCAAAATGCAATTTTACCACAGGCATGGTATTTAAAAACATAACCAACATAGTTTTAGTTTTTTGCCACAGACGCAGATGAGTCTTGCCACAGATCTGTCTTTTGACAGACAGGTTGACAATCACTGATGATGATGCATGCATCCTTACAAAATATATGTTCAAATATTCACCAAAATGTTTTTCCTTTCTTTATTTTTTAAGGAATGTTCTCCTACTTTGCCATCTTTTGGCAGCATTTAAATGCATCATATTAATAATGAATGGAAGTGTGTTGGCTTCATACTGTTATTCTTTGACAGGCCAGGGCTGCTGCTGCAACCTTGACCTGTGAACCGTAGACTAAACATCCCCTCAACAAATCATGTCCAGCCTCAATGCCAGTGAATTAAGTTAACCAGTGGTTTGTGGTACCTAAAACACTCGCTAAAACTGCTCTGTCAACATTGTATTACTTAAGTGAAATATCTCATCATTTTTGTATGAGAATTCTCATTGTTCTTCTTCAAATGGACTAGTAGCCCATCTAGGGTGTCCCCTGCCTCTTCGTATTTCCTGGAATAGGCTCCAGGATCAGCACAACAATATGTTGAATCAGTGGTTTTGAACAATAGACGGGTAGGTAGATCTTGAAATGGTGTGTAATGACTTCTCATTGTTCTAAAAGACGCAAAGAATATTAAACTATTTTACTGGGACAGGTGCACGTATGGTGCAAACACTTTTCCCTCATGTTCCCATATTTCAGGATAATACTGCCCCTATACACACTGCAAGTTGTTTTAAGTCAAACACCTTTCATGGCCTCCACAGTCACCATGCCTCTGCCCTCCAGTTCTCAAAGCTTTCTACAGAGGAACCGAAAGCATCCTAACCAGCTGCACCACCATCTGTTACGGGAACTGCAGAGTCTCAAAGTGCAATTCCCCCAGTGAATTGTGAAGGACGCAGAGAAGATCATAGGGACCTCTCTACCCTCCCTCATAGACATGTACCACAAACAGTGCAGCAGCAGAGCCCACTCCATCACACGTGACCCCTCACATCCATCCAACAGCCTGTTCACCCTGCTTCCATCTGGAAAAAGGCTTAGGAGCCTTTGGTTTACCTCCACCAGGTTCTGCAACAGTTGTTTTCTCCCAAGCTATCAGACATCTCAGCTCCCACCTACCCCATAAATGTTGATAAATGCACATTTGCCTAACACTGTTCCTATTATTTGGCCAGTCTGTCTACAAGCACTGTTTAGTGGTATTATATGCACTGTGTCATTGTTGGTGTCATTGTTGAGTATTGTTGTGTACGTAAAAACATAAGAAATTTACAAATGAGAGGAGGCCATTTGGCCCATCAAACTCATTTGGGGAGAACTTAACTAATAACTCAGTTTTTTAAATTTTATTTTCAATTTAATTATTTTATTTCTGTTTATTTAACTATTCATTATTCTCCCACAGTATTTACTGTTTGATTTTTGTTTCTCAGCTTTTCCTAGTTCTGTATATCACTCTGTAGATACGCAGTTTCATTTCATGTGTGTAAAATGACAATACAGTGACTTGGCCAGATCGAAACATCATTGGACCCTTATGGGAAGCCTTAAAGGAACATCTTTTGAATAATGGTCCAGTATATTCATTGTTCAGGACTTGTATAACAGCATTCCAGGAAATATTGAAGCTCTTTTGAAAGCAAAGTGCTTGCTCATTGTCTGGTCCTTTATTAATAAAATGTTCAGTGTTTTTTATGATTTTGTCACCCCCCCATATATTTGTATATTTGCTTTGTTTGATGTGGTTGGAAATTTTGCTGGAAGGTGCTTCTGTTGCATGGCTACTTGCAGACAGTCCCTTTGCTCAGGCCATCGGGTTGCTTAACAACCAATGACCTGCATCCATTCCCCCACTGCACTTTATTGCAAACTGTGGTTAATATTCCAATTTTGCACTTTATCAATAATTTACTATACTGTGGTCCATCGCACATCATTATCCCCATTGCATCACATATTTATTACTTATTTATTGTTTATTCATTTATTTTTGTACTGAACTTTCTTCCACTGCCTTATCTTTATTGCAGTACTGTCATCCCCACAATGCATTGCTGTTTGTCCTATATGTCCCATGCTCCTGTCCCCTACCCCGTAACTCTTATAAAAATTTCACTGTATTCCTTTGAACCCATGTGTATGGAAGTAAATCTGTATCATCACAATTTGAATTTTATATTCCACTGAAATTCTAACATTGAATATTTATGCATTGGAAATATGCATCGGAAATTCGATGGTCCGAATTCACATGCTAAAATATGAGGTTAAAAACACAAAGACAATATTTCAAAGTTGCTCCAATTCGACGGTCCGAATTCACATGCAAAAATACGGAGAAAGGTCTGGCTGCAGACGCCCACTGAGACTCACGTCCACTGACACGCAGGAAGCCCACTGAGGGCCCGGAAATGACGTTCCACCGAAGCGCGCATAAAGTTTGGTGCACTCCAAGACAATATTTTACTTACGAGCGGTGGCCGCGCGTCCGTTGTTTAATTGCTGTTTGTGTGGTGTTGATCATGACATTTGCGAAGGAAAGTAGAATGGTAAATACAGTGTTAATTAATTAAATATGTTCAGTTATTAGTTCTTCAGGATGGATGGGAACTTCTTTGTATGTTTAGAAGTGGAATGTTAATGTTTCATGTTCAGTGTTTTTTTTTCCCCCCCTCTACAAAAAAATTTAACGTTTTATGGAACTTTATCAGTAATGTTACTGATTTTCATTACCAAAATTTTCATTACCAAAGCACACCAGCAATTTAGGTGTTTAAGAATGGGAAAAAAAGAGTCAAGAACACCACAGAAATGTCATTGGACATAGCTTTATTGGTAATATTTAAAATAAAATATAAGCGGCAAGCAGGACACAGAATCGGTATACAACGAGTTTATACAGATCCTTCCAGGCATCATGTAAACCGAAAAAATCTCATGTTGTAGTCCACCTTTTTGCCATTTCTACCATGTGACTTAGTATGACAATCTTTCACATAGTGTCATCTTACAAAAAAATAATGCCGGACGCAAATGCTCGCTCTTGAGTTATATACAACCAAAATGACGATTCGACCCACAATACACTGCGGCTATAGCGAGTGTGACGTCGGCTGACAAAGACCAATTAATTTTTTTTTTACATGAAAACCGTATCTCGTTAATTCAGAAAAACAGAGCAGAATTATTTTTTTCTCAAATGAACGCATTACGCTTCCGTACTATTGTAAAGAACAGCAACGAAAACTTTTACTTAAAATTACAATAAATATCTCTATGATTATCATGCCCCGATCGTTCGCTCCTCCCGTGTGCCACGCCCCCTCATTTACCCCGTATGGATTCCCAGTGTTTACCAGCTGTTTTTGATCGTTGTCATTAGTCCATTGTATTTAGTCCGCGTTTCCGATTATTTCCCCAGTCCGGTCATTGTATTGTCCGTTTTGCTTTATCGCTCGTATGTGGTCCTTTTTATTCATTAAATCCCGCATTTCCCCCTAATCCTACGTCTCCTCGCCTCCGCTTCCCTGGTCAGCGCGTGACTGATATAACAGGTATTATGTCGAAAAAGGCATGCCTGCCTTAGAATGCATGCCGGTGGTCCGACGAGTTGAGCTTTTAAGGGTTTTTTTGGGGGTCAGTGATTTTTTAGGATTAGGGTTTTAGGGTTTTTTTAGGGGATAGGGTTAGGGTTTTAGAGGTTTTTTATGTTTTTTGGCGGTTATTGATTAGCACTACGGTAGCCTTACTCGACAAAGTAGCTCAACTAGTTTCAGATCAGCGACCAATCTGTCATTTAGAGACAGGCATGCATTCTACGGCAGGGATGCCTTTTTCGGCATAACACCTGTTCAAAGCGTTCTAGGGCAAAGACATGTCGAACACCTGGAAGCGCTTGCTTGTGCGTTATTGTTTTATCTCTTGTTTGCGTTAGCATGTGTGTTTGATCTCTCAACATTCTTGTGGGTTTCGGTTTCGTTTCAGTTAGTTTTCATGTTGCCCTTTGAATTCCTGTTTTCGCGTTTCTGTCCGCGATCGGTTCCTTCTTTGCATGTCTCAGTCTGTGGAGCCTCTGCCTGTCAGTAACCATGTACCGTACGCCATCCAGAAAATGTTTCTGTCGCTATATGTTACAGCATATATTTCCTGGGTCAAGGAGCTTGGCTGAATACTTTTATCAGTGTCGGTTATTTCCACTATTTGTGTTTGTGTGCGCTTTCCTCTCAGTTATTAATAAAGGACTCGGTTTGGTTTTGGGCCAGTCTCCCATGTTGGTGGAACTTTGCCAGATGCATCATGACGAAAATATGTCTTAATAAATAATCATGGAATTAATTAAATTTCATAAATCGTTTTGGCATTTGAATATATTAGCTAATGTTTTCATTTAAAACCCATATTATATTAGTAACATATTGAGAGTGTAGTAAAATTTTATGATCAAGTTTTTAATAATTTAATAAACAGAATCTAGAAGCAGCTTAATACATTAAATATTTACTGAAGTTTCGCTGAGGAACCGAAGGTCGATACTTGTCTCCTTCGATGTTGTGCTACATAATCAGTCACCCAGATGGAGGCCATTGATTTCCTTTTAGAAGTTCTGCAGCAACAAGGCCCTGACTCAGGGACAAGGGTTGGGATTTCGTCAGCCTGCCTCAGCAACATTATAACACCGCTAATAATAATGGTGGCATTGGGCTTTTTGGGGGAAAATAAGGATTTTCTCCAAAACAAATCGATTTTACATACATATACATACATATATTAATTGTGGTTCTGCTGGCAGAAGGCTACACTGAGAAGCAGGATGCTTTCAGGTTCAATATTTCTAAGACAGCAGTACACAAAAATAAGGCAAAGCAGGGGACACTGGGAATGACCAGAAACCAGCCAGGTAAAGGGCAGAAGTGACATTCTAATGTCAGAGATGACCATTAACTTATCTGACAGTTTCTCATGGATCGAAGGATGACATCAAGTGACCTTCAAAGGGAATGGGAAACATTACTGCACATGTGAAGTGCATTGCTAGGACAGTTTGTATCAGGCTCCTAGAAGCAGGGCTGATCTCCCATAAAGCAAGGAAGAAGCCCTTCATTGAACAGGGAAGAACCAGACTGCAGTTTGCAGAAAATATATATTATTTACAGATGCGCACCCATAAATTGAGAAATGAGTGAAACAAAAAATTGTGCTGTGGTCTCTTAATTTTTTCAGTGGCTGTATATACAATACAAACAGGCTACATAACTCATTATTGATATAGAGTTATAACTAGCTAGGTGTGTTGTTTAGCCATACTCCATATAATTACTTCTTATGGAGTGGCAAACATAGCTTTTGTGATCTAGGTTTATATCTGCCTTGTATGTTTTGCCTGAATAAACAGCCAATTTAGGAATAAAGGGAACTCCAGCTACTTCTCTATATAACTAAAAATGATTCCATTCTCTAGTCTTATTAGAGTGAGGATGTGTCAGCAGGCCAAGCTTCAGGATCATGTATCTAAATCTAGCAAACATCATTTGCCTGTCACCCACTGCTGACTCCCAAGACAAACAGGCACACCCTGGATCAGTATGGAGAGAAATGCACACTGTGTCAGTGTGACGGCCTTCTTCTTGTGCCCCTGGGCAATTTCAGTTTGCATCCACATATTCTGTGCCAAGCATTAAGCCATGAAACGCCACACACACAAATGCAACAGCTTACTAAAAAGGAAAAACAAATGTGAAAGGTCTTGCCAGATATTCCAATGCTCAGTGCCCTCCAGCAGAGCATTGAATGCTATTTCATTTTGTACACATTTATTCTGAATTCTATTTAGCTTCCACTTTACCCATGTATACCAAGTTAAAGTTTAAAACTTTTATTAAAACAATTCAGATTTAGTACCCAACTCTGTTCTTTAGTTGGCATACCTGTGCTTCCTGATATATACCTCAAACTCAGTGTGACAGTGTACTGCAGTGTTTCCCAACCCGGTCCTCAGGGACCCACAGACAGTCCACGTCTTCCCTCCCCCAGCTCCCGGTAGATAGCTGTTTAAGGAACAAAAATATAGACTCTCTAGCAGGGAGCTGGGAGGGAGCAAAAGCATGGATTGTCTGGGGGTCCCCAAGGACTGGGTTCGGAAACACTGCTATACTGGATAAGCTGTTGTGGGAGATGGATGAAATGTGGTTTTCAAACTTATCCTTGTGTGGACAGAATAATGTGGATGCTAAGTAAAATAAAGCTGAACTGATGACAGTAGTGAATTTCCTTGCTGAAACAAACACTTCTGAAGGATTTTTGTGGTAATCTGCTGCGACAGCTCCTGAATGGAGGATGTGCCTTTTCCCTGAAGAGTTCTGCAGCCTTTGCCGACAACATGAGCAAAGCAAATATTATTTTTGCTCCCATAATGTGACGACAAGAACAGATGCTCAAATTCTGCAAAACAAGAACATCTTATCTTTCGGCTGAAATGGGTGGTTTGCAGGCTGTCTTCTATGCAGTTAAACCAACCTGCAGCTTCAACTGTGCCATTCTTGATTTGTGTTTTAGCTAAACGAGGCTCTTCTCTCCTGATTCTGGTCCTTCAGGTCAGAACTCAGGGATGGGGCACATTTAGGGACCTTCTGAATGTTTTTGTTCAGGTGCATAAGGAGCATAAACCTTAGACCTTCAAAAAAAAAAAAAAAAAAACAGGAACTCAGAGGATTTGAACTGATAAATAATACCTATATACTGTTACTGATCTGGGGTGCTTTTCCTGATAATGAATGATCTTAGTGAATAACAAACACGATTAACAATGATGTAGAAAATAAGTTGGTCAGAGCAATCATTTATTCACAAACATGATTACAAACTGAGTTATGAATGGTTTTGAGAAACACTACTGATTAATCTTAAGTATGACATAACAAAATACTTAATGTTACAAATCGTTGAGGAAATGCATCCCAGAAAAGTTTTACAGGTAAAGTGAAGGTTTTGGTTTTGCATACATTATTGAGGCTACAGGAATGATTATAAATGACCTGGACTGGATCAGGGCACAAACTTTAGGATACTCTGTAGATTTGATCCTATGCCTATAGTGACCTTTCAGACCCATCATTCAACCAGAGTGCTGCATAGACAAAGGTAGGCCATGCAAGGGTGGTGCAGGTCGAACCAGTGATGGAAGAACCTTAGTCAGTGATACAGGAAGGGTTAGACATGAGAACAGAGCACAGATCAAGCAGCTGGGGAGTAGAAATCAGAAAATACTAAAGGCAGGATGTGACGGGTAAAACAGGAAATGGGAAATACAACAAAACATGGGTGTATAAACAACCATAGAGACAAAGCCAGGAAATCAAGAGCTATGGAGCCACAAGACAGAACCCCATACTTTATATAAACAGCACTGCTCATTAACTGTCAGCAGCTTCCAGGTTATGGGTTGTGCAGAATATCATTAAACTTCAACCACCAATCTCCTGTCATGTCCATGGGTCTGACCTGTGGTTCAGTCCCCTTCATCCCCTCCCCTGTCCGATCTGTCATTGTAACATCCTGCCCACCATGTCCACCTGACCCTCCTGTCTCCTCGCTGGTGTGGCCCTAAGAAACCACGTCTGTTACTTGTTTGTCTTACCTCTCGTTCTTAACTCTTGTGTTAATCACTCTCAGCTGCCTCTCGTTAGCTCCCTCATAAGTTTCATATATATGTGCTTCCCAGGCCTGTGTTCCCCTGTCCAGTCACTGACACATACCTTCTTGTTGCCTGTGCCCTATCTCGTTCCAGTTCCCCCATTTTGATCCCTCATGATCCTGTTTATTTCCAGCCTTTGTTCTTTTAGTTCTGATAAACTCCTTCTTGTTTCACCACCACACCTGCCCCGTGTCCTTCATCTTGTCAGTTGTGACACAATGACTGGACTCCAAAAGAAATTTTGTGGCAACATCAGCCCAGGCTTCCAGGCTTCCCTACACCCAACAGACTGGATTCCCTATGTTCCCCAGATCCGAAGACTGGCAAGGTCTCCGAAGCAATGGGATCCACTAGAGCACCTCGCCTGCATTCCAAGGACTTTCACCTTGGACCAACCCCGTGGTGCGGAAGTTGCCCAAGGCTCATGAACTCTTGCTGCGGGCAAGGAGGATACTAGGGGGGCTCACCCCAAATGTGGACCTTCAGGTGGTGGAGGAGGTCCAGTGTTGTATGAGTGAAACGGAGCAACTCATCTCCCAACTCACTGTAGGTTTGCCCCCAGCTCATCCCAGCTTGCTGTAACCCAGTGTTTCCCAAACTTTCTCTGCAGGGCCGCCTTTTCTAGATAGGAACATTATTGAGCCCCCCCCCCCCCCCCCCCATTCAAACTGCATAGGTTCAAACTTTATTTGAAATACAACTCCCTTTTCTAATTGAGCGAAATTGCATTTCAATTGTATTTTGTAATTGCATTTTGTAATGCAATTACAAAATACAAATGGTGCAATTTCACCACTGTGGGAGAAAAAAGAGCAATCAATTAAAAATAAAAGTCCCGCACAAGTTTGAAATTATGCAAATGCAGATTTTACGTTCCTGTTAATAGTCATTGGCGTACACAAATTAAAGTTTGTTTTACAATTACCGCATTTTGTTTTTAATGATAACCGCAGGTTTCAGCCTATACTATAGCACAAAACAACACTAAATCATACCCATTAATTGATAGTCTCCCTGCACTTCATGTAGAAAATTTTAAACCTCGTTTTTCATGATATGGTTAGATTTTTTTGCCCGGCCCTGCAAAACGTCGTCACGCGTCACCATGTCACATGGTACAAAAACCTTGCAAGAGCAAGACGACTTAAGACAGATAGTACAGCACCTATCAGCCGGCTGAACAAACTGGAACAGCCTCCGTGACGACACAACTTTGCCCTTATTGGCTGAAGAACGTGACGTTTGTATGATGCGTTATTTGCTATTTCTCCCGAATATCACGTAAAGCAATGAGAACTGGTTTTCAGTTAATTTACCTGGTAAAATAAAGTATAAATAAATTACATGAATGCTCTAATAGTACACGTAAGGTAGTGGTTTATATATTGTTAGTTACTGTAATGTTGCGCTGCTTTATTTGTTTAATCGCCCAGTCTGTGAAGAGATTAGTTTGCCCCTGAGGCTATTGGGCGCCCCCCAGTTTGGGAACCACTGCTGTAACCCATCCTGCTGATTCCAGTCGTAGGAAGAAGTGGTGAAAGCGGTGAAGTGGTGAAGTGCCTCTGGAGGCCTGCCCAGGAGTGGTCACTGCCATGCCTCCAGCACCCAGCTCTGGCCTTGTGGGCCCCTATTGGACACCTCCAGGGTCAGGAATGTTGTCCTTGTGTTTGGTGTTTGCATGTAAATCAAACAAAGTCAATTACTCCTCTGCGGTCTGCTTTCAGACAGGTGTACTGGGAAAAGTATGATTGTACATATTAAAATAGACCATTGTTTAGCAAATGTTCTAAAGCAGTGTTTCCCAATCCAGTCCTCGAGGATCCACAGATAATCCATGTTTTTTGCTGGGAGGGAGCAAAAATGTGGAGTGTCTGGCAGGCAGCTCAGAGGGAGCAAAAACATGGACCGGCTGTGGGTCCCCAGTGGGGGGACCATGAGTATAATCCTTTACTTTTAACATCTTTTTCACACTCTGCTCCAAAATGCTGACTGCAGCAGAGGCGACGCTGGAATAAAAGTCCCTGCATTTACCTCTTGCTGGCATTTTTCCATCCATACATATAATTAAGTCTTGTTTTTATTTTATCCTCAAGGGAACTTAAATTCTGCTGCATTTGTCTCTTATCTTACACTCCAGTTTCATAGATCCTGCAAAATCTATTCTGATTTTCAGTGAGCAGACCTATCTGGCATTTCACATGAAGAGTGAATTTATCATTCAAGAAACTGAAAAGCCGTTTTCCTGTAGCCAATGCACCTCCCACCTACTGAAAATTTTCATTGGGAAAAGGTGCATTAGGCTACATTAAAAGTTTTATTTTAATTTGGTCCATTCGATAAAGCAATTATTGTTATAATTATCATTGATATAATATGTTTATCATATACAGTATGTCAATTAACATACCGCACCCAAAATGAGTACCCAGTAACCTCTATACACAGCTGTATATTTAATTGCGTTGCAGTGTATTTTGAGGTATTTCCCCAATGGCAATAATCTGTTGAATTATACTGATATAAGAAATATATTTTGAATATATCTCCGTATATATGTGATATGAAAACCATGTCTTCAACTGTCGCGTTCAAGCAAAAATCACCATAAGAACGAGCTGATTGCCGACACAAGCTTAATGCAGACAGGTCTTATCTAGGCTTTGTGCCTCTGTAATTGGCCGAACACGTATCTGAATGTTTGTGATATCATTTCCTGAAATGTGGAGGCTGGTGGACGCCCTCTTGGTCTTGTTCGTCTGCCACTAGCGCTGCTCCGACTGCAGAGACGCCGATATACAATAGCAGAGCACCGGGACGGGGGAGGAAAGGGGGTGGCTTCAGAAAGTAAAACAACGAGCGGGTTTTCCCCGAAAACTTGAAGCGCATTCGGCGATCGGCATGGATCCAGCAGGGATCCGTGAGGGGGTTTTAATTATCGTCAGATCGCACAGATGAAGAGCAAGGCTGCGGCCGCCGTGTAAAACAAATTATATTGCCTATATTCTTTCTGGAAGACAGGGTGAGTATTCATTTTCGTTGCGGTGGTGGGGTTTCCGTTATTTGGGTTTGTTGTTGCCTGATGTAACGGTGCTTTCGATTTGTGTTTAGGCCAATGTGCATTACTGAAATAAACTATTTCCATAGCCGTGATATATGCACGACAGTCTTGTCGGCGATCACAGTGTTACTGCTGCATGCACAGCCGAGATTATAAATTCCCTGCAATATAAATGTTATCGTGCACATTATTATTATTATTATTATTATTATTAATAATAATAATTGCAGCTGTTGTTTTAAAATGTTAAGTTTCTTAAGTATTATATTTGAAGTTGACATGAATTGCTTCTTAGTATATGCAATTTGAAATTTTCGGCTTCGTAAAGCTTTCATGTACGTCGCAAAGATATTGCTTCGCTGATTGTTAAGCCGTCACGTATTAAATTAACGTGGACGGGTCGAAATATACGTAATAAATGTATCTTCTTAAAATGTGAAATGTCATAATTAAAAGTGTGTTGATCATTTCCTGTTTGTTCGCCTAATTTTAAGAAGGCTGCGGTTTATTATAATCGCATTAAATGTGCATGAGAAGAATTCCTTATGTAATATATGGTGTATGTTAAAATTTCCAGTGCTGACTACAAGTTTTATGTGCGTTTATAATGTGCCGTGGACAGTATTTAATTTTATTTGACACGGACATTTGTTTGCACATGCATTTCTCAAAGGCGAACGGAAACAGAAAACCTATACACTTAATTTGTACTTTCACATGTACGCGTGGCAAATTTAATCTGGCATAAAGCAGTCCTTTTTCAGCTATCTGTGTGTTTTAGTGATTATTACAAATCTTTGTGTATTTGTAACACTAAGTAGGAGATGTTTGAAGATATTTCCCGTACATATCATGTACATATGATTTCATTATAAAAAAAAATTGTTGAAACTGAAGAGAACTGCAGAGGGCTTCTGGAAGACGTGAGTGAAGATCGACATATTTAGACCTTGGTAAAGTTTATAAAGGCCCTGACCACTAGGTTTTTCTTTCGTTTGTTTTTCTCAATCCCCTGAGACCCATGGATCGGTTAGATTAAGTTGTATCTCTCACAGATGTCGAATGTAGCTCTGGGCTTCTGAAGGAGTCAGCTGCTTCTGAATGTGACTCTTCAGTTTCCTTCTCTGCTGTGTTCTACACGTGGTCTAGATGTCACAAGGTGACCGGTGAGGAGAGGAACATCCAGACTGAAACCCGAGAGACTGTTAAGAGAGATTTCCCCGCCAGAGCTCCGTTGTGACCATGTCGATCATGGACCATAGCCCCACCACGGGGGTGGTGACGGTCATCGTCACCCTCATCGCCATCGCCGCTCTGGGCGCCCTGATCCTGGGCTGTTGGTGCTACCTGCGTCTACAGCGTATCGGGCAGCCGGAAGATGAGGAGAGCATCGTGGGCGAGGGTGAGACGAAGGAGCCCTTTCTGCTGGTTCAGTATTCTGCCAAAGGACCACGAGTTGAGCACAAGACCAAACTCACCCCTAATGGCACCGAGAATCTCAGCTAAAAGGGCCCTCGATCTCTCATAGTTACACATTCAGCTGCAGTGTAAACCAGGTCTGTTACATTCCATCTCACATGACATTGGCAATATACATTATTTAACAACTTTTTAGTTCATGAATTACAGAAGAGCAAAGCTTTGGTTCCATTTCAAGTTTATGAATGTGGTCGACAGAATGAGCGCATGCACTGAACAAACCTTATTTTTGTTGTTGTCATTTTCTGAGCCTCCGATTTAAAAAACGGATGTTCTTTATTCACCTGAGCCTATCCATAATGTGAAGTTGTGAATACCCTTGTACACGTAATCTTATTTATTCTGCAATTTGTACACAACTAAACTTCAAGGAAATGTTACAGGAACTTGGAGGGTTTAGTTACTTGCTTATCGTTATAAATAATACACAGTATGTGTTGGAGATGATGGTTTCATAGTTCTGAGGTTTGACTTAAATGCCTATGAGATGGTGTGATTGGCCAGCGAGGTTTTAAATATGCATAAGTGGTGCCAGGAAGCCACTGGAAACACTGGAACTTATGAAGGATTTCTTCAAAGTGCACTTTCATAGAGCACTGCGGAAAGCATCCAGAATGTTCGTGTTTACCGTTATTGTGGCTGAGCGAAAGAGGAAGTTCCTATTAAAAAACTCCAGTTTTATAGGCCTGATATTTTGTTTATATTGTAAAGGAAGTGACATAGAACTTCATTTGTCTTGTATAGTTCATATCTGTGTGTTTTTGCTATAGATCTTCTTGAATTATGTATTTATTACTTTTGTCATTTCCATTTGTAAGTTGAAGAGAAATTCTGATTAAGTAAAAGAGTTTATTTTTGTATGCTGCTCCGGGTCATTTGCCAATGGATTACACTCCGAGAAGGAGTTTATTTTCGGACATGCAGAAGGTGTGGGGGTGGGATGAGGAGCGGTGGTGAGCGGGGGGGGGAGGGGGGCGGTGTAGGATGAGGGGGGACATTGGGGGAACGGGGTAAAAGATGTAAAATTAAAAAAAGCAGTCAGACATTTCCCTCTCAGTTTGTGTTCAACCACTAGGTCCATGCACATGAACATGTGACCTCATTTAATTTGCCTGAAGCATCGCTATCATGTGATTGGCCACAAACTGCTGACCCCTGGCTGGGATTTGGCACTCGCTTCCTTCCTCTGCATGTCTGGAAATGTGTTGAGCCCTTTTAAATGTGCCAAGTGAGTAGTCTGAAGTGCATAATGCTTTGTGGTTTAAAGGATACCATGGTCTGTTGTGATCCCTGTCAGGCAATGTTTTCTTGTGTATCTGTAATGAGTATGAATAAAATTTTTGTAGCTATGCAATTCTTTCATTGTGGTTTAGTCTTTTAGAAGTAACTCTGTACAGTGTCCCTAATACTTATACCTAGTATCTTATTGCATTTAATCTCTATTGTTAATTTTTAAACTAAAGCTACAATGCACAATGTAAAAAAACAGTGTTGCTTCTACACATGAATCTACGGAACACTTTTGGTGGATTTTTGTCTGTAGTATATTCATTTCGGTATATTTATTTAACTGTACAATGCCCACGGAAAGTGTTAGGACACTTGCTTAATTCAGTAAAAATATTGCAAATTTATTGGTTTTCTTACAAAAACCATTACTTTATTAATTTGTTTACAAAAAAATGTATCACATTAGAAATGACCAGTAGTTTTAAGTAAAACATTCTTTTCTTTTTCATAATAAATTGAAACCCAAATTATACTTCTAAAAGAGCTGTTCCTAGTTAATAGTTTATTGATAACCAGCCTGGTTGGATGCTTTCAGATTAGTGACACCTTTGCAATAACATAAATCATAAATATAACTTAAAACCATAAACATTTGGGAGCCAGTGACTACAATTGAAATTAATAGCAAAATGGCAAAAACAAAACTGAATGAGTCAATCAAGAAAAAAAATATGGCACTTAAGAAGAAAATGTCTGTATGTGCAATATGTGCAGATGTGTTACAATAGACTTTTGTTATGAAGCCTATAAATTTACAACATTTTTACAGAATTAAGCAAACGTCCAAAGACTTCATGCGAGCGCTGTAGTTTATCAAGTACAGTAGTACCTCAGAACTCGAACTTAATCCGTTCAGAACTCTGGATCAAATCCTAAAAAGTTCAGTTCTGATCGAATTTTCCCCATAAGAAATAATGGAAAACTAATTAATTGGTTCCCGGCCCCAAAAAATTACACCTAAATATGTTTTTTTAGCATTTAAACACAAAACGAACCGGATAAAACGAGCATATACTGTACTAAACACATCTAAGGACATTTATCAAAACAGTAATTTGTAAAGTAAGAAAATAAATGTATCCAATGTGTAAAGTTAAAAAAAAAAACAATGTGTCCTGCTCCGACCGTTTGCTCCTTCCGTGTGCCATGGGGAACACTGACACTGTAAGCATACTGTATATGCAGATATGTCCACTTTTATTCTTTATTAATGAGCGTGTAATATAAATGTCATATTTCTGAGTCATGATGTGTAGTATTGACAACGAACCATTTTATGTTTCATTTGCTATAAGTGATAGGCCTATTTTTAAGATGTTGTACTTTAACACAGATCACTGGTGTACAATCTGGAACCAGGTCTTCCTGTTTAGTGCATTTGTTTGCTGACTGAGAGCAAGTGCACATGAGCAAGAGAACGTGACTCCTGATCAGTAGTTCAGGGTCTCTGAATACTGCAGATCTTGCTCCTTCTGCCGGCCAGACTGGGCCACTTCCCTTGACATGCTGCTTCTCGTGTTGTTCACTCACTCTCTATGGTCACAGCAGCAGGCAACTGTTCATCACACCCATCCATCTGTAGCAGTGTTTCCCAGTCCGGTCCTTACGGATCCACAGGCAGTCAAAATTTTTAGGGGCAAAAACGTGGACTGGCTGTGGGTCCCTGTGGACTGGATTGGGAAACGCTGATCTGTAGGACTCTTGAACTACTCACCATGACTGCAGTCCTGATCCCTGTTATAAATTAGTTCCGTGCCGGTCAGTATGTGCTCACTGGTCAATTTCCCCTTTAGCGCTCATTCACATGATATTCATTAATAAGCTGTCAGAGGTATAGGCCAATACTTGCTGTTCATAGGGTCTTTTAATTGTTGGCCCCGCCCCTATTGTTGGTCTAGCACTATTGCCTCACACCTCTGGGACGGGGGTTTCAGTCCCTACCATGTGATTTGCATGTTTTCACTGTGGGGTTTCCCCCCACAGAGCAAAAACATGTTGAGGTGAATTGAATTTGCCAAATCGTTTGTAGGTATAAATGGTGTGTGACTGTGCCCTGCGATGGGTTGGCGCCTCATCCTGGGTTGTTCCCTACCATGTGCCCATAGCTTCTGGGATAGGCTCTGGGCCCCCACAACTCTGCATAAGATAAGCAGGTACAGAAGATAGATGGATGGATGGAATTTCCATCACACTTTCCTTGCTTTTCACAGTCTAAAGGCTAAGAATTGAGTTCTCCACACATTTGTGAGCTGAAACTATGGAAAATCACCATATTTTAACAAACACGTCACGTCCTTTTCCTCCTTCCCCCAGCTGGGCAGATTGTCACGTAGCACCTCCTTCAACTTTGAAGGGCTTTTCAAAGGTTCCCTCTGGATATCTCCCAGGCACTTTTGAATTGGCAGGTTTGGGTTCCTGCAGAAACTTCAAGAAGGCACAACAAAAGCTTTGGCGTTCTGCACAAAAGAGCAGCCAGGTAACACCCAGCATATTAAATCAGAGCTGCATCATCATCAGTTTGTTTAATGGCCCGTTTCCGCTACTTCCAGCCCTGACGTGGGGACCTCATTCTGTCTGTTGCTCTGTGCTGTTCTTCCTTGAAGACTGTTGTCATTTACAGCGACAGGATTCATTCACATGCACCATTTCCTCTGAATATCATTTGATCTGCTTAAGACCTTTATCTGGTAACTAAGGTCATGTTTGGGAAGTAATTACTTCATTGGAAGTAATTTAATATAATTTTGCATTGCCCACTGAACATCACATATACTTTCTCAGTTGCAAACAAAATTAAAACAATAAATAGTAACAGTGGGTTATGACGCTTTCGGTAAAGACATTTTTGGGTGTAAAATTTTGTATATATAATTTGTTCAAACTGATCAAAATTTCCAAAGAATGCAAGAAGGCTATGAATTGAAGGTTTATAAGAATAAATAAAGCTAGTTAATGGTGCCAGAAAAGTACAAAGCTGCACAAATTTTAATTGAGAAAGTCAAGAGGGCGTGAATTATGTACAGGAAAGTGAGTGTGATTTCTCTTTTAAAACTCTGCATGACTTTACAACTTGATGAACAAAGTGTGGAAACCAGACTAAAGAAATTAAGTGCAGAGGGGAGGGTGATGTTTGTGTGAGCAAGCAATGCAACTATTGGGTAACATAACTGGCAAACTGTGTCCTTAAAGCAACATTTCAATTGAGGCATAAGTGCCACAACAATGGTGCCTCCACAAAGAAATAATACATAAGGAAGAAATAAGAAAATGAGAAGAGGAGAGGTTGAAACATGGAAGGTGCAAAATTTAGTGCTGTACTTCCAAGTTGTCTCCCTTCATGGTGTCGTGCCAGTTCAGCCTGTCATTGATGATGATGCCAGGCTACTTATAGCACTAAATACATTTCTTACATGGAGTATACTTACAGTTCACTACACCGTTGTACTCTATGCTACATCATTTCTGACCGTATTTACCAGAATATCTGTGTTAATCTTTGAGAAATGCCTCAAGATCCATCTTTCATGGGAGCACCTCTAATAACTCATGTTACCACTGACACTCTCTGTCTTTATCGAGTATTTTTTGGTTGTCTTCTCTTGGCAACACTGGGTGCTCTTTTTGTGTCTTATTTTGTGCGCATATCTAGTGGGAACCTAGTCTTCATCATGTTTTTCAGGTAGATCTTTGAACAACCTGCTCTTGCCTGCAGCACCGAGATCACCCAGGAACTTACGTATGGATACTGATTGTCAATGCCGGGGGAAGTCCATCGGGATTCCTAGGCAAGCTTTACT